TAATTCAAGTGATGAAGGATTTTGAAATTCTTACAGTCTTAGTCTTAGTGTTGAGTACTACTGTAAAGGTCCTTGCACACAGAGTCCGAAAATTTTGTTTGTTTCATATTCTCCATCCTTTCCTATCAAAAATCGAACAGACGATTGTTTCGTAGACAGTGTGTAAACATGATTGACACAACATGAGCTCGCATTTACTTTTTAAACTTGCAAAAATTTCGGACGAGAATTTCGGACTGTGTGCAAAGACCTTAAGGCTAACACTACCTGCTTTAAATGTTTCAGAATTATTAACAGCTGAAAACAATCGTTAGTAATTTAGAAAAGTAATCAGAAAGTAATCAAATATACTCAGTTGCATTACTTTAATAATGTAATTGAAATAGTTACACTTTTACATTTTGAATAGGGTAACTTGTAATCTGTAACCTGTTACATTTCCAAAGTAACCTTCCCAACACTGCTTTTCAGCATTCACTATCTTGATGAAGGACAGTATGAACTATGCCAATATAGGGAGGTTAGTCAAACATAAAGCCAATTTAGTTTAGTTTAGTTTATTTAAACTTTATTGTCTGGCCTTAGCTGAAGATTAATCTGTTGTCTCGCTGTACATAAAATAATGACAATACATAAACTCCCACAACATACACAGGACACATTTACGTATAGAAGTATTAAACATATAGTATAGCAGAAATACTGGTTTTACCGATTAATTGCTGGCACTTCTTTTTTGGCATTAATCAACAGGGATAGTCAAGTGCTAGATGATTAAAGTGCCCCTATTATGCCATTTTAAGGTTCCTAATATTGTTTTGGGAGTCTCCTACAATAGGATTACGTGCATGCAAGGTCAAAAAATGCTTTCATTTTTTCAAAATGTGCATTTAATATCACCTCATTTTCCAGCGATTCTCAAACGATTTTCAGTTTCAGTCTCTCTAAACCCCTCTTTTCCGTGAGCCTGCTCTGTTCTGATTGGTCAGATGGCCCAGTCTGTTGTGATTGGTCTACAGTGTACAGCGGAAACGATACACCCATTGCCATAGTTCCGTATTTTGAATGGTCGATAGAAAATATAAACATTTATTATTTATCATACTTGTGATTCAGTGGAGCTATCACGGGGCGAACGAGACGAGAGACGTGCGGATCCATGTGCAAGGCTTTATTTACAAAGGCATGGTCAATAAACAGGCAAGGGTAAGATAACACAGGTATATATCACAGGCAAGACCAAGAATATTCCAAGGGCTAGCGTGGGTCTTCGATCGGTGAACAGTATCCAGAGGGCTTGACAAGAGGGGTAATCCAATAACAAGAGCAATAGTCCAGGCGAGGTGCAAACACAGTTCAAAACAGCAAGATAAAGGGTTAATCCAAGAAACACAGGCAGAAGGTCAGGAAACAGACAACAAGGCAGCACGAAGTGGCTAGACTAAAACTAGAACTAGAACTGGGAACTAGGATCGGGAACTAGGAATGGCTCCGTAATGCAGCTATCGCTAGAAGAGTGATATGCGTTAAACAATACTCGGCAGGTTGAGAAGGATCTGAGTGAGTGTAATATAGTGTGTGTGTTATTGGTTACAGCTGTGTGCAATCAGTGCAGTGGATGATGGGAAATGTAGTCCGTGGTGACGTGTAACAGTTTGTCTAGTGAAAGAGTCTATATGATGGACGAGTGACCGCTGGTGGCGATCGGACGGAAGTCCATGGACAGGATTCGTAACAGAAGCCAGCTGGTCCAAATAAACAGGATACTGAACCATCTTTCAAGAGCAAGCGTTTAGTGAATCCTGCGTTGAACTCCCCGAGATTAGAGAAGCAGTCGTCAGTAAAATGATGTGTTTGTGGGCGGGGTTAAGTTGTTTGCTGCCGGCCAACGTAGAACATATGCGGGAATTATGCAAATGTGTTACCCTGTGATGTGTAGCCGTCACGGAAGTGGGGTTCAAATTACTAACGATTCATTTAGGCTGTAGAGAGTCGATTCTTTATTATGAGCTTCGTTTGACGGTCAGGAATATAAAAATGAACAAAATGCTGTCATTCTACAATTCTCCACCGTATTTACTATGCTCTGCGCAAGTTCAGCTAACTCAAAAACTTGCGTACACGAGCTGAGACCAGACGTGAGATTTGATCGTAGCCACCGCTCACGTCCATACTGATAAATTCCAAATTTTGCGTTGAAACGACCGTACGCTCAATTTTCTGTCGTACGTTCGTTTCGTAAATGAGGCCCAATAACTTTATTTATTGTGCACCTTCGGCTTTACAACTTTGCTGATTGTTTACATTCACATACAGCTACATTACACACTGCATAAAAGGCAATATTTGAAATGGCATAATAAGGGCACTTTAAGTAAAAATTTCGAAATTTCACCTGTAAAATTTGGATTATTTGTAATTGGGATCATTTCATTTTTATAATTAGTTTTATGTTATTTGAAGTGTTACTTTTCAGTTCAGTTTGAGTGTGTCTGTATTATTTTTTCTATTTATTTTAATATCTTTTAAATAATAATTGTAAAACATTTTCTTGGGTAAGTTGTTTATCAATTTTGTAAGTTTAGCACTATTTTAAATTGTGTGGAAAATTATTTTTATGTACTTTAAAAAAACTCAGCCAATTAATTAGTTATCAGCCTGTTTTTTCACCTTAGTTTTTGGCATCAGCAAATTAAAAAGGCAGTGGCTATTTGCACAAGCAATAGCAATAGATGCTATTTACACTAAGTGTAAATAGCCATAGCTTTTATTTACAATGTTTTTTTATATTTTTTATGTACAAATAGCAGTATTTTCTGCTATTTATACCACTTATTGCAAATAGTGGCAAATATATCTGCACCTCACTATTGTAGTATTGTATAATAAAACACTATGCAAAAATTTTTTTATTGAGTGTAAATTAAAGATGCTGACTTATTGGGACAATAAAGCCCTCCCTACACCTAACCCTAACCCTACCTGATATTTCATTTCCAACTTTTACATTTTTTCCCCTTTATTTTTATAAAAAAAAATAAATGCCTTTCCGGTGATATGAGATGTGAAAAGGGACAAGAAAGAGGCATAAGGCAGATTCGATAAGATGTGAATCGAGGCAGATTCATAAGGCAGATTCGAACTTGGGTCGATCACGTCAAAAAGTCTTCACTACACATTTGACCACTTAAGCCACTGGAGCTTTTTTTGACAGCCGTCTTTTGTAATGTTGTCTAGCCCAACCACATGTTGGTGGGCGGAGTTAGTGTAAATAGACTCTAAAACAAGGCAGGCTATTTGCACTTAGTGTAAATAGACACTCAGAATTAGGCAACCTTAACTAAATTGGTGCAAATTTCCATTTTGTTGAATTGGTAAAGAATTTGTATGAATTTGTCTCATTAGCTACATATTCAGTTTGTATGTATTAAAACAAATTCACCACCAACTCACACATTTTTTTTAAATAAACCTTGATTTAAATTGATATCAGTCACAATATTAGGGAAGAAATGCAAAAAAAAAAGTGCTAGAAAAGTGCTAGTTTATTTGTTATTCACATATGGGTTCATGATTGTTGCTGTATCAGAGGACAGATCACATTCTTGTCGTCATCTACCATTACCACATAAATCAATGGAGAGATGTTAAACTCAGTCTGTTTCTCTGTCAGTCACGGGCCTCTGTTTAAAGGTCCCTCTCTTTTTTCTTCCACATTCTTCCAGGGCAAAAGCCCCTCAGTGTCTTTTAACCTTTGACTGCTCAGAGATTGTGTCTCTACCCCTGAGATGAACTTTTGAAGTTATAAACAAAAGCAAGACAGGCAAGAAAAGCTACTGGTTGTCCTTTCTCTTTCCCCTTACTGACTGGACAGTCTGTATACTTTGTTTTGGCTATTTCAACTGAATTCAGAGGGGTTTGTCTTTCTTTATTTCATCAGTAGTTGGTTGTCTTATGGGCGCTGTTTCATATCCTATCATTGACAGGTGACAGACAAAGTGCAATGTAAGAGCAACTGAAGAGCTATTGGGAAAAACAAAAGCATCCATTTTGAAGTTTACTGAACAGTCTGCACCTGAACCTTCAGAAAGCTTTTCTTGCTTTGACTTTTATAAAGCCTTTCCAGTTCCAGAAGTTAGAAACTTATGTTTACGTTAAGTGTAAATACACTACTGTTGAACAGATGTTTTTTTTAAATAAATAAATACTTTTATTCAGCATTGACACATTAATTTGATCAAAAATGACAGTAAAGACACATATGATGTTTCACTTCTATTTTAAACAAATGCTATTCATTTGAACTTTCTATTCAATGAAGAATCCTGAAAAAAAAATCACAGTTTGCTAAAAAATATTAAGCAGAACAAAATGTTTTCAACCCTATGAATTAAATGTTTCCTGAGCACCAAATCAACATTTTTATGATTTCTGAAGGATCATGTGACACTGAAGACTGAAGAAATGGCTGCTAAAAATTCAGCTTTACCATCACATTAATAAATTATATTTTAAAACATTAACAGTTATGTCAAATTGTTATAATATTAAACAATATTATTGTTTTTACTCATCATATAAAGCAGCCTTAGTGAGCATAAGAGACTTATTAAAAATATTAAAAACTTATATTAAAAATATTACCAAAAGTTTGAATGGTAGTGTATAATTTTTTTTTAATCATGCTGGGATTTGGGGGGAAACAGTTAAAATACTTGGAAGATTTCTACATTTAGGCTAATGCAAAACCGTTATTAGTTGTGCCATTGGCAGTGATCATGTTATGTAATTTTGGCATTATGGAAAATGTTTGTTTTAAATAGGTTTCCTGTCAAACTTGATGCTGTAATTTAAATTAAACGTGATATTTTTTATTTCTTTTTTTAAGCAATGTTTGTATTAGTATTATTATTTGTAAAGTGTTATTAAAAGTACAATTTGCTTTAAATGTATATTAATTTTCAATGTCTCTGTTGTCCTTAATGATGGGCACAATACTAATGTATGTTTACACCCTTCACAGCTCTCGTCCAGGTCGCCCACCGAAGCGTTCCTATGGGGCCGATGTGCAAGAAAGCCCCAGAATCCTCCACCACAGAGCAAACAACCTTCTGTCTCCAGCCCTGCTGTCACCTACAGGTAAATGCAAGCGTACAAACACCCGTCTCGTTTTTCACCACGTTCTGTGTGCTGTAAATGTAGATGAGCCTCAATTTACTCACTCACAGCCCCCTTCAACACATATGAAAAGTATATGCTTAAATCACTCCCTCCTCTGCTGTCCTTCTGCTCATCTTTCATTCTCTCTCCCTTTCTGCCGCTCTGTTCGGTCATCTTTCATGCACCTTCTTTTACGTATGACAGTGATGAATGGCACACCCCAGCGGGATCACTCATCCATCTGTTCATCCCTCTCTATTTCCCTCTTCCTCTCACTGGCCAGAAGCCTCACATCCCCCGTCATTGCTTCTCATCTCTACTGTATCACATTGGGAAGGGTGGATGCTGAAAATGTGCTGAAATCTGCCCCAAGAAATGTCTTATTTCTGCCAGAATCAGGAGTGTAGCAATGATTATACCTGCAAGGGGACATGTCCTTCCCACTTTTAGACAATTATGGCTAATTCTCAGGAAACAGCGACTTTTTGCCAGATAATGTCTGGAAAATATAATTAACTATAATTAAATTTTTTTTATACTGTATTTTTACTTTTTTATCATGTGAAAAAGTAACTACTTAACTTTCAAGAAATCATATTTTCCCACCTCAGATCCAAAATATCTGGGCATTAACCATCATAGACATTTTTATGACCTATTTTTAAACTGTGATCCCATATGTGGGTATACCAGTAATTATTTATGATTACTAGCCTTAAGACGTAAAGTTTCAACCATCACAATAAGTACAGTTAGTCTTACTGTATTATATATATATTGCAGTTTTATTTTTATATTTTATAGTTTTTATTTTAAGTTTATTTTAAAATGTTGTGTGCTTTTGTAATTTTATATATTTTTATTTCTATTTCGCTTTAAATTATTATATATTTTTTTTCATTATTTTATTTTATTTATTTCATTTTTAGTTTGAGTTCTTTTTAAATACTTCAGTTTCAACCTATTTTATCTAACCTATTTGTCAAGGCAACATTTCTAACCTTCGTCTAATCTCTCATCAAGTTTATCATCTTATATTCATATTTATATTATATTTCAGCTTCATTTCATTTAAATACAATTATTTTAAAAGTGCTAGTTTTAATTTTATTTAACTGTAATAACACATTACATTATTTACACAGCTTTTGTATAAAAAATACACTCTAAAAAATGCTGGGTTAAATACAATCCAGTGCTGGGTAAAATATGGACAAACCCAGCAATTGGGTTGTTTTGACCCAGTGGTTGGGTTACTACACAGAAGGTTGGGTTAAACATTTAACCCAACCGCTGGGTCAAAACAACCCAATTGCTGGGTTTGAGGATGCGCTAGACTTGCAGTGATATTCTGCCGTGTTTGAGCAGTTACCGTGGCGATGTCACTTAGAGTCTTGGCATCGTCAAGTGGCAGATGTCAGGACTCGTTAGGAATGAGAGTAGGGCAGTTTGCTTTGATTTGCCAAGTGCTCAGTCATTGTTTGGGGCTATGACAGTTGGGTAAAAAAAAAAACATGGTGAGTGAATCAGTGATTATATTCTAACAGCAACATACAACAAGCCAGAAAACACAATGGAGACATGACAGTATTTTGCTTTGCATTTTGTTTGCTTAGAGAAGGAAGAAAATCAGAAATTAGTTTAATATCTCATGTGCTTTACTAATAAACAGCCAATATGTTATGAATAAACATGCTAACAAGTAACTAGTTAATAGTGAGAATTGGTCCCTATCAATTAGAGTGCTATGTTTATTATTATTAATTTTGATTTTTTTTTACATGTTTTTGAAAAGTCTCTTATGCTCATCATGCATGCAACTGTTGAGAAAAAAATTAAGACAAAAATTGCAATATTGTAAAATATTATTACAATTTAAAATAACTGTTTTGTATTTGAATGAAAATGTAATTTATTCCTGTGATGGTAAATGTTCAGCATCATTATTCTAGTCTTCAGTGTCACATGATCCTTCAGAAATCATTCTAATTTGCTGCTCAAAAAAAACATGTCTTATTATCAGTGTTGAAAACAGAACACTTGAGCAGAATTTATTTGACATAGAAATACTTTCCAACATGATAGATGTGTTTATTGTCACTTTAACCAATTTAATGCATCCTTGCTGAATAAAGTAGTAATTTCTTTACAGAAAAAAAAAACTTACTGACCAAAAACATTTTAATACAGTATATGTTTGTGTATATGTCTGAGAATTTTCTCTGTACCTGGAATATTTCACCCAAAAATTATAATTCTTCATTCCAAACCTAAATATGGAATGCAAATGGAGATATTTAGCGGAATGTCCAAGCTGCTCTTTTCCATAACAAAATTGACCTTGTGATTTGCATTATTGCCAAGCTCAAAATATTACAAAAAGTACCATAAAGTAGTCTGTGTAACATGTGTGGTTTAAGTCCTCCAAAACCATTTGACAACTTTTTATAAGAAAAAGAGAAATTTAAGTTACAGTGCTCTAAGTTGTATCATAACTGTGAGTTACAGACAATACATGTTTTTTGGAGGAACTACTCCTATATTTGTGAGCTGCATCAAACAAGCTCAGTTTCACAGCTCATTTTTTAAAAGCATGTTTTCTGTATAAATGTACATATATGTAATTTATTCCTGTGATGGTAAAGCTGATTATTTTTTTGCAGTGATTGGTTAAGTTATCAGTTCCGCATGATCTTTCAGAAACCTAATGTTCTGATTAATATTCTGGTGCTCATTTATTACTAATTATTATTAGTGTTTAAATATTAGTAATGGTTCTGATTCAATGTTGAAAACCATTTTAATGCTTAATATATTTGTGGCAACCGTGATACATACGATGAATAGAAAGTTCAAAAGCACTTGAAATACTTGAAATAGAAATAATTGTAACATAATTGTTTTTACTGTAACTTTTGGTCAGCTTAACACACCCTCTTTTTTTTTCTTTTTTTTTTTAATGTTGCTTACCGTCAAACTTTCGAGTAGTTATGTATCACAGTTTCCACAATATGTTAAGCAACAAAAACTCTTTTCAAATAAATGATCACATTTTTTGATCAAATAAATGCACCCTTGGGGAACATAAGACACTTCCTTCGAAAGCATTATTATCCCAAACGTTTCACCGATAGTTTATATCTGCATAATAGATTTGGATGGAAAATTAATCTTGAATTTTTTGGCATTTGACTGGAGAAAATAATGGCAAATTTGAGCTCAGTTTGGGATTGAGATTTGAGATTGTTGATATATCTAATAAAACTGTTGAGGAGACACAGTTGAAGTTGTCTCCATTTGATTACTCCATTGCTGTATGGGAGAAAGTGTGAGACAGTTGTTTGTGTTTATGATTGTTCTTGAATGTATTGCAGGTCTAACAACAGCTGCCATGGCTGAAGCTTTGAAGATACAGAAGATGAAGATAATGATGAATCTACACAAGACCCACAACGGCTCAGAATTCGATTCAGATGAGCTCAACACTAATACAGGTACAGGGCTTGTGCTTACACGATTTGTTTGTTAATGTGTGTTTGTGTTCCTTTAAGGCAGCTTGTTTAAAGTGCAATCTAGATGTGCCAGACAGATGGCCTTGCAATAGTAGTAACCTGGGCCTTTTGGGTGAGATGAGCCCCATCACGGAGCTCGCCCATGTTGCAGGGTTGTGCTTGGTTTACAGAGACTAATGGTGACATTAATGACTGCTGCCTGACTGTGCATTTAGAGAAGACCAACAACAGACAGAAGAATAGTTAATCGTACACCAGCCCTTGAGATGAAACAAGGCATTTGCTGCAGGGGTGCATGTGTTTGTGTATGTGCATACAAGCCAAGCAAAATTAGAAAATATGTAAATGGTTAATGTTGCATTTGTACAGTATTTTTGTGTGTACATGCATAAACAAAATTTGTTGATGATGCAAAGCATTTTAAAAGTGTGCAACTTTTCTGATTTAGCTTATTATTTAATTTTTTAATCTCTATATTTATATTATTTATATTAATATTTATTATATTTGATTTTATGATAGGAAATGTGAAATACATAAAAATAAAATAAAATATAACAATATAATAAACAAAATAATAAAATTATATATATATATATATATACACACAGTATATGATTAATAAAAATTAAATATTTAATTATACACCATTAAAAACAGTAATAGTATTAAATATTACAATTTAAAATAATGTTTTCTATTTTAATATATTTAAAAATGTAGTTTATTTATGTGATAGTAAAGCTGAATTTTCAGTCTATATTTATATTATTTATATTAATATTTATTATATTTGATTTTATGATAGGAAATGTGAAATACATAAAAATAAAATAAAATATAACAATATAATAAACAAAATAATAAAATTATATATATATATATACACACACAGTATATGATTAATAAAAATTAAATATTTAATTATACACAATTAAAAACAGTAATAGTATTAAATATTACAATTTAAAATAATGTTTTCTATTTTAATATATTTTAAAATGTAGTTTATTTATGTGATGGCAAAGCTGAATTTTCAGCATCAGTACTCCAGTCTTTAGTGTCACATGATCCTTCAGAAATCATTCTAATATCTGCTGAAAAATATTTCTTGTTATTGTCAATGTGTGCTGCTGCTCATATTTTGTGTGGTGTATATCTCTGATAAATAGAAAGTTCAAACGACAAAAAGGAACATTTCACTTCTGTTAGTGCACTCAGCAGTATTTGCTAGACAGAATTTTTAGGCATCACATAAAATCTTGAGTCTTCAAACACAGCAGCCATATACTAACTGTGGCTAAAACTAACATAGATAATGTGAACTTCAAAAGCCATTCTCAAAAGAGTTTAGGAGGAAGAGAGCGCAGCATTCCTAGAGAGAACAGCTGTGGACAAGCATAATTTAGGAGAGAAGAAAAAACGGCCTTCATCAGAAAGATGGAATGCAGTCAAGGAAAATCAGCATCAAGGATGACATCAGCAGAGCGGAGAGAAGCAGCGAGAGATACTTTTTTCCCCCTGCGTTGACAAGTTGAAAGAAAAATTCCATGCATTATTTAACAAGATGGCCGAAACCTGTCATACGGGTGATTGCCTGCGTTAACAGAAACAGGTGTGCGCTGTGTGTGTGCATACGGGTGTATGTTAGCACATGTGTGCTTGTTTTCACGTCCGCGTGCATTTAGCAGGGAACTCGTGTATAGTGTAATGCACACATTATCTGTTTGCCCCTCTTTCCCTGTGGTCAACATTTTTGTATCTTCACCCGTCCACCCCCTTTCCCTCTCATCTTGTCTGTTTGAAGTTGCTCTCATTTTTAAGATGCTGTTTAAATCAGTAGTTTTTTTTG